CTTTCGACTCTCGTGCCAGATTCTTGTTTCATCACGACGAGAACGAGAGACTGTCTTTCAGTGCGCTGCTCGTTCAAGCATCCTTAATTGTCAAAGTGTGCTGAGAGTGCTCGTCTGCCATGTTTGTCCTCGGGCAAAAGCACTGAACTCCATTGCTGATTCTTGTTTCTTGGTTGCTATTACATTCCTTCTCTCTTGCCTACAATCTCACACAAATACTTCTGCGCAGATATACACACGAACTTGCAAAATCATGAGTTCCTCACCAAAACAAAGAGGTATACGCATTGCGATCGACCGAGGCGGCACCTTTACAGACTGTGTGGGGAACCTCAATGGCGACGACGTTGTCATCAAGTTGCTATCAGAGGATCCAGCCAATTACGATGATGCACCGCTCGAAGGCATCCGCAGGATCATGTCGCATTTTCTCAAGCACGACATTCCCCGCGGTGAGGCCCTCGACACGTCGCAGATCGAGTCAATTCGGATGGGCACTACGGTGGCTACCAACGCTTTGCTGGAACGCAAAGGAGAGACCATTGCCCTTGTTGTCACCAAAGGCTTTCGAGACTGCCTCGTGATTGGCAACCAGTCACGACCCAAGATATTTGACCTTGCTATCCACAAGCCCGATGTGCTGTACTCGGATGTTGTCGAGATTGACGAGCGCGTCACTCTTGAAGACTACGCGGAGGATCCGACCCGCCATGCCACCAAAGCCAAGGCCAAGGCTGGCACGGCTGAAGCTGGCCAGTCGGAGCTGGTTATGGGCCTGTCCGGTGAAGCAGTGCGCGTTTTGGAGCGGCCTGACGAGCAACGGATTCGCCAGCAGTTGCAAAAGGTGTACGACAATGGCATCCGCAGCATCGCAGTGTGTCTCATGCATGCGTACACGTTTCCGGACCACGAAGCTCTTATTGGTAGAGTTGCAAAGGACATTGGGTTTCACCACATCTCGCTCAGCTCTGAGCTCATGCCCATGATCAAGCTGGTCTCAAGAGCAACGTCTGTTTGCGCCGACGCTTACCTTACACCAGCTATAAAGAAATACATTGACGGCTTCCAGAGAGGCTTCGCAGGCGGTTTAGGAACTGAGAGCGTCAAGCACGAGGCCGGCGACAGAGGAGCACGGTGCGAGTTCATGCAGAGTGATGGCGGCTTGGTCGATGTCGACAAGTTTACGGGCCTCAAGGCCATATTGTCTGGACCGGCAGGTGGTGTAGTGGGTTATGCCATAACCTCGTACGACCAAGACACCAAGATTCCCGTAATTGGCTTTGATATGGGCGGGACAAGCACCGATGTATCACGGTACGGTGAGGGCCGTTACGACCATACGTTCGAAACGACCACAGCGGGTGTAACCATTCAGTCACCGCAGCTGGACATCAACACGGTCGCCGCAGGCGGTGGCTCACGTCTCTTTTTCCGAAACGGTCTGTTTGTCGTCGGTCCCGAATCGGCTGGTGCACATCCTGGCCCAGCATGTTATCGTAAAGGCGGGCCGGCGACAGTGACCGACGCGAACCTCTACCTCGGCCGCCTTCTTCCAGACTTCTTTCCCAAAATCTTTGGCAAAAATGAGGACCAAGGGCTGGACCTCGAAGCGAGCAGGAAGGTTCTACAGGAGCTGACAGACCAGGTCAACCAACAAACGGACAAGAATATGTCAATCGACGAAGTGGCGTACGGGTTTCTGACAGTCGCAAACGAGAGCATGACGCGGCCAATCCGTTCCATTACCGAGGCCAAGGGCCACGATTCGTCAAAGCATCGACTAGCGACCTTTGGCGGCGCCGGCGGACAGCATGCTGTTGCGATTGCTGATGCGCTTGGAATCCGCCAGATCCTCGTGCATCGATACTCATCGGTGTTGTCAGCGTATGGTATGGCGCTTGCAGACGTAGTTGATGAACGACAGGAGCCCGAGTCGGCTGTCTGGCCATCTAGCGAGAAAGATAGCAGCGTCTTCGATGAACTGAAGCAAAAGATGGACGCACTCAAAACTAAATCCCGTGCGGCGCTGCAAGCGCAAGGATTCAGTGACGAAGAGATTGTCTTTGAAGAATACCTTAATATGCGGTACCGCGGTACCGAATCGGCGCTTATGATAATCAAACCGAGCGCCGAGGACGCCCAGGAGCACTTCGAGGGTGATGAGTGGGCATTCGATAAGGCTTTTGTCAGACATCACCAGTATGAATTTGGATTTACGCTGGACGACAGAGACATCATTGTGGACGATGTGCGAGTGCGTGGAATCGGAAAAAGCTTCACATACGAAGAACAGACGGTCGACTAGCAACTCAAAACCCTTCAAAGGCATGATGTCGTTGCGCAAAAGGAGAACTCGAACGCGCAGGTGTACTTCGAGGGCGGACGACGAGGCACGCCTGTTTACAAACTCAGTGATCTCGACAGTGGAACTGTGCTCAAAGGACCTGCGATGCTGGCTGACGGCACGCAGACAATCGTCGTCACGCCCAACGCTGAGGCCGTCATCCTCGAAACGCACGTCATCATCAATATTGCCAGCGCCAAGGGCAAACATGACGGCGATCAAGACTCTGCAAAGCATAATGACCATTCGAAGCGCGAGGTTGACCCTATTCTGCTCAGCATTTTTGGCCATCGTTTTATGGCTATAGCTGAACAAATGGGTCGCGCACTCCAGAAGACAAGCGTCAGCACAAATGTCAAAGAACGACTCGACTTCTCATGTGCAATCTTTGACGAAACTGGTGGGTTGGTTGCCAATGCGCCCCATCTTCCTGTCCACCTGGGCTCGATGGGCACCTGCGTGAAACGTCAAGCCGAGATCTGGAAAGGCAGGCTCAAAAAGGGCGATGTGGTCATTTCTAATCATCCATCCTACGGAGGCACGCATTTGCCCGATGTAACGCTTATGATGCCCGCCTTTGATGAAAACGGCGAGCACATCCTTTTTTACGCTGCCTCGCGCGCTCACCACGCTGATATTGGCGGCATAACTGCTGGCAGCATGCCGCCGCACTCACGCGAGCTATACCAAGAAGGTGCTGCCATCAAGAGCGAGAAACTGGTCAGCGAGGGACGTTTCAACGAGGAGCGCGTCGTCGAGCTATTCTATGAGGAACCGGCGCAACAACCTGGCTGCAGTGGGACACGGTGTCTGGCAGATAATATCAACGATTTGCGCGCACAGGTATCGGCAAACCAAAAAGGAATTTCACTGATTGAAAACTTGATTGGCGAGTATGGCGCCGACACAGTCATGTTCTACATGCGAAGTATCCAGGACAATGCCGAGTTCTGCGTGAGAAGGCTGCTCAAGGAGGTGAGCAGAAAGTTTGAAGGCCGAGAACTGTCTGCTGTGGATTTCATGGATGACGGCAGCCCCATTGCGCTCAAAGTATCGATTGATGCCGACAAGGGCGAGGCGGTCTTTGATTTCGAGGGTACGGGTGTCGAGGTGTATGGCAATGTGAATGCGCCTGAGGCTGTCACGTACAGGTATGATTGTCCTTCGGTTTCTTCCTCTTTCTCGAGTGACAAGTCACCCTGTTGGGTAGCGGAGTTGCTGACACCTTTCTGCCATCAGCGCAATCATATACTGCCTCCGCTGCCTCATTTCTGAAGATATTCCTCTCAATCAAGGCTGCCTAAAGCCTATTCAAGTCAAAATCCCGCCCAACTCTCTGCTCTCCCCTTCGGACCACGCCGCTGTTGTCGGCGGCAACGTTCTGACCTCCCAGCGCGTCACAGACGTCATTTTCAAAGCCTTCCAAGCCTGCGCCGCCTCACAAGGAGATTGCAATAACCTTACCTTTGGCTTTGGCGGCAACGTGGCTGGCCAAGACGAAGTCAAAGGATTTGGATACTATGAAACGATCGCAGGCGGGTCTGGCGCTGGGCCTGACTGGGATGGCACAAGCGGTGTGCATACGCACATGACCAATACGCGAATCACCGACTCGGAAGTGTTTGAAAGGCGGTACCCCGTTCTTTTGAGGGAGTTCTCGATTCGCAAAGGATCGGGAGGCAGAGGGCAACATGTCGGTGGAGATGGTGTGGTGAGAGACATCGAGTTCCGAATCCCGGTGCAGGTGTCGATTCTGAGTGAAAGGAGAGTGTATCACCCATATGGACTTGCCGGTGGAGAGGACGCAGCGTGTGGGCTAAATGTATGGGTGCGGAAGGTACAAAAGGCAAGTTGGGAGAAGCAGCTGAAAAGGTTACAGCAGGGTGATGCTGGTAGCGGCAAAGAAGATACGGAAGAGGCTGAGTTTGTTGAGAGGCACATCAACCTTGGCGCAAAGAACAGCGCACCCATGAAGGCTGGGGACCGCATCATCATCAACACGCCTGGCGGAGGAGGCTGGGGCAGAGTGGGAGAGGAGAAGAAGCACCGGAAGGCTGCTGATCCGACGCAGACGTGGCGGAAGGGAAGTCATGCTGCGAGGGAAGATACGGCGCTGCAGGTATGAATTAGGAGTGCCTGGGAAAGACTGTCAGAGAGTTTGATCGCTTACAGTACTGTATGCCTCGTTTGGATGTTCTTGAGACTGCAGTGAAGGAGCAGCTTGGCTATCAGTCTGCTCTGGGAACACTGATGACAATGGACTTCGGGATACGGTGTGTGATGTTCCAGATTGGTAACCAGGAATTTCTGCTGAATTAATTTGATACTGAAGGTGTTCCAAGGCTTGAATCAGTCATGGATCACATGTCGAGGCATTTTTTTTTTTTGGAAGCATTAAGGAAAGCACTGATGGTCATTTCCTACAGCACAGACTGGAAAGAAAGTCTGCATATTGGTATGAGAAAAGAAAGAAAAAGGGCAGAAAGAAAAAGAGAGCAGTGTCTTGCATATCTATTGCAAAACGTCCTCCCTTGTCGGGATGTCGGGGGTGTTGAGCCATCCATCCAAGTTGACGTCCATTACCACAATTGATCTCCATCCCAGTTGCTGGTGATATAAACACTTTCTCAAACCCCGACGTCAACCAATAAAGACATCCTCCGTGGCGCAATTGGCTAGCGCGTCTGACTGTTATCCAAGACAATCGATACTTTCCAATATATGGGAATTGAAGAGAATCTGGAAAGCAATATACATCAGGAGGTTCGTGGTTCGAGCCCACGCGGGGGAGAGGATGTTCTTCACTTTTGCATTGAATGATTTTTTGTTTGTGGGTTTTTGGACAAATTCCTCATTTTCTCCCTCTTCTTTTATGAGAAATGGCTGCGGTGGGGCTGCCAGGGTCTTTAGTATTGGAGGAGGTGGTGGATAAGGTGTGAATATTGGTCTGGGCTGTATATCTAACTACACATTTGAACTATGTCTATCATAACTCAGATGTTACAGATATTATGATAATAGGTGGTAAGATGAAGAATTGGTTATTTATAGGTTTCTACAAGTGTGATTATCGGTCAAATTGTACTGCTCGAGTGTATCAAGCTCAATACAGGACCAGAATTTGGACGACAGAGTATCGATAAAATGCCAATCATTTTACAGCTTGCGGCCGAAATTTTTATCAGCTATTGCAGACAATATAGAGAGACAGCATAAAATCTCAAGAAAAATTACTTTGTTACCTGTATTGGAAATTCAACAGGGTTTTATTGGTGTTCATCTTAAACTTATACACCATACGTGCATGGGGAAAGAGAGATGTATCCAGATATTGAGTTGAGACTTTGAGCTGCTATATGTAATAATTACCAGCTGGGTAGTGACCGTTTCAAGTCAAAATTACTCTCTGTGCAAAGGCTTGCCCGTACTACTTGATAACTCCAATATTGCTACCAAGAGGGGCACGAAAATCCACACAAGTATTCCAGAATATGATCTGTTTACATGAACCGTACAAATTTCTAAGATAGTAGGTAAACCACTGTCTCTTCATTCCTTACTTCATATGTCGAGCGTATACGATAGGACTGAGGCTGACCAGCGCGTGTCTCTGGAAAAGTATTGGTCCCATGTTGTGGTGGACATACAAGTCCAGTAGGTCCTCCTAGGCGGGTCGATTGCGGCTTTTGCAACGTCTTGATGTGTTCGTCCCCCTCCTTCATTACCACGCTCTGACCTGCGGCGGAGAGGTCCATCCATGCGAACGACAGTCAGTCGCTGGCTGATGAGCAGGAAAGCGCCATCAGCATTATATGCCTGCGGGGCATCCGGTATCGCAATATTCGTCTCGCTTCGTGTGAAGGCCAGGCAGACAGCCTCGTTCTGGAGTCGCTCGTAGCCCAGAGAATACTTCTTGAATTCTCGCTCATGGTTTTTCTACGTCTCAAGCGGCTCTTCCATTGTATCTCAGATGGAGGTTTAGGTAAGACTCGGGACGGCAAGCGTCTGAAGAGCAGAGGAGAAGCCATATGGTTCAAGGTAAGATAATAGGATGTAAGGTTCGTGCGCGATGCACGACAGCTATCTCTTCGATATTTGGGTAAGATCTTGGGATAAGGGTCAGTTTTATCATTTCCTTGGAGTAGAATGAGTGTGTTCAAAAGGAATGAGATGCACGGGAGAAGGTGAAATGAAGCTCAGAAATCATAGGTTTTGGAACAAAAATTTGCCAAAAAAAAATTGGGGAAGAGTAAAGAAGGCAGTTCAAGTCAACGGAATAAGCATGGAATGGTTATTCACATAACGAAGCAAATCAATGGACCCAGATAGACCTACCTGGATTAGAGCTAATTAAATGACTTATGCCCTGAGCAAGGGCAATAAACATTAACATGACATTCTAAGTATGTTTGTAGAAAGGGAAAAATGTGTATGTGTAAATGGTTGCTTATAAATAAGCAACAGAGTGTTTATAGACACAGATTTATAGATTTATATATGCCTGTGCAAGAGAAATGATTCCGAACAACGATGAAACTTGTAATGCTCACTCACCCATTGACAACACACAAATACACAAATCTCACAAGGCAAGAGAAAAAAAAAAGTGTTGATTTTTTTCTAATATTCCTAGATGTTGATGTTGTGTTGTGTGATAATGCCTTTGAAGAAGAAGTAATTAAAAAACCCCAAAAACCATTGAATCTCTTTTCGCTTTCGCCCGTTTATGATCACCTCCGAGACCACACCTAACGTAGACAAGACACAAACCCTGGCATGCCAGTGCTCTGCGTGACCGCTGATAGCCTCGCTGAGCGGGTATGAGCCAAGTGTAAGCAAGCCATATCAATCATATCAAGCCAACGCCATGCCATCATCAAACTTTAACCACGACAACAACACCAACGCACTCCCAGTAATGCAAAAGCTGTAAAGGATGAATAATGTCCAGTGAATATGCCAAGATTCTTGCCAACGACCTACTCCTCTTCCTCCATTTATCCTCCTCATCTCTCATCCATCAACACGAGGAGAAACAAAATTAAATATCAGTAGTATCTTTGGTCCCTGTCTCTGCAAAATTCTCTGCACCAAGGGAGTACCTCAAGCGGCTTGGATTCGTCAGTGGTGTCCCCTAGGCACGACGGCTAGCCATGGCTGCTGTGGCCCCTGCTGATGCTAGGTCTTGCTTCGCACTAACACTACGACCAGCCGCTCGCGGGAGGCTGCTGCCAATGGGCGCTCCTATGCCAGTGGTGGCTATCGTGTTGGTCCGCTTCGGAGGGATCGTGTACACCCCAGACGGTCGTCGTGTGTGGGTTGTTGACGCAGGACTTGTCTTGACCGGACTGGAGCTGATGCTAAAAACGCCTGGCGCATCCTTGATAGGCCTGATATTAGAGCTAACTCGCATGCTGGCCGCTGCCGCTGGTGGCTCGGGAAGAGGCCGTGGAGTGGAAATTGTGTTGTGGCGCTTGATTGGCGACTGTTCGCGGACCGTGGCCATGCGGGGAGCGGGGTGTGTCATCTTCTGGCCAGTAATGTATTCGTGGCGAATAGCTTCCTCTGGCTTGAGTCGCCGATCAGGGTCCCATCTCAAGCAGCGTGCTATAAAGTCCAGAAAGGCCTCATCGTCACACTTGAGGGCCTGCTGCAAGGTCTTGGAAGAAGGACGCCTCCTTCTGCCCTTGGATGAGACTGTGAGGCGAGGCTTGCCCATTGAATCGAAAAAGAGCTTCTTCCGGGTACTTTTTTCAATCAAGTGCTTTTCAGGAGGCCCGAAAACCTCCATAATACACGCCAATTGCTCCTGCTCGTTCTCGCCTGGGAAAATGGGTACACCAGTGTAGAGTTCGGCCAGAATACAACCCAGACTCCACATGTCGATTGGCAAACCGTAGGACATGCCGAGAATGACTTCGGGAGACCGGTAAAATCGAGACTGGATGTAGGTATACACCTTTTCGTTTTCGAAACAACTGGACCCAAAATCGATGACCTTGAGTTCGGTATGCAACGGATGCCGCAAAAGAATGTTTTCGGGCTTGAGATCGCAGTGTATGACCTTCTTCTGCTTCAATAGGTTCAAAGAGCTGAGCATTTGCTTTGTGAAGCGCCTGATCATCTTGAGGGAGAATCCACGGAAGGCGTTAGCCTTGATGAATTCGTAGAGGTTCATGTCGAGTAATTCGGTGGAAATGCATAAATGTTCGCGGAAGTAGAAGCTGTGAGTAAAGTTGACCATGCTATGCCTATTTTTGGGATCCTTAAAATGTCACAAGTTAGCATATAGCATTCAGCGCATATCGCCTTGGTCAGACAATAGCTTACCCATTCCCGAAGCTTTTGCAAGATATTGACTTCCACCAGGGCTTGTTGGTGGAAACGCTTCTTATTCCTAATAATCTTGACAGCAACAAGGACGCCCGTCTTGTGGTCGATGCATCGCACTACCTGGCCAAAACTTCCTTTTCCGAGGACATCAACGATTTCATATCGGTAGGCGAGGTGGTCTCCAACGACAATGCTGTAGTCGCCGCGGTCATCGTCGTAGCCAAAGTTGGGGGCTTTGGAGTGGAGGTCGCCAACAACCTTTTGTGCGTTTTGGGTACCACAAAAGAAGACGTCCTTGTAATCGATGATTTCTCCTCTTTCGTAAATATTCAGAATCGCTATGCGGATAGCGTCCTGGGGGCTTACGCGCTCCTTGGGCGTGGCTCGTTTTCGAAGCGTGTCCAGAGTCTTGGCTGCAAGCTCCGTCTCCTTGCGCCGGCTACCCAGCTTTCTCATTTCTTCTTCGGCAATCAGATCGTCCTTGTCCAGATCCGCGGTGAATGCCAATTCGCTGTGCTGCATCTTGTTCGTCGAAGCCTTAGACCGAAGAAATTTCTGCATGACGGACGTAGATGTCCCTGTCGGCCGGCTTGCAGCGCCGTCTCCACTCTCGATCTTGACCTGGCGAGTTCCGGTTCCTTGTGCTACCGAGGCCCCAGTGGTATCGCTCTTGTTTCTGCCATGCTGTTGCACATTGGCATTCAAGCTTGCACTAGATGCTTTACGGCGTGCAGCCTCGTGTTGCTGGGTCGCAGATTTTGTCGGCACACTCGGACTGCCAGTTTTGACGGTCGCAATAGAGCTACCTGTGGTGGCAGAAATCGGGATGCGCGGCGGAGGCATTGCATCATGCTTTGCGTGGGCATTTTCGGGGTGCTTCTCGGTCTTGGAGCTGCTTCGCTTCCAAGACAGCGACAGTTTCCGTCGCAAAGTTGTCATGGACGATGGCGTCTGGGGCTCTTCGGGGCTGGACTGTTGGATGGGAGACTTTGTGTTTGCTTTGGTGGTAACTTTGGCAATTGGTTTCGGTGGTTGCCTTGGTGCACGCGGACCCGATGGCTTCGAATGCGCCGCAGGGTTATTGGACGATTCTTCGCTCTTGCGGAGGTCGCTGCCGGTCTGAGATCGTTTAAAGTACGCCTGATCAAAGGCTGCTTCCTTGGGAACGGAGGAAGAAAGATACGGCGAGACTGACGCCTTCATGACACTTCCATTTGTAGACTCGGCACTACTCGTATCAGCAAATGGACTTGCTTGTCTATTTGGTTGGTGCACGGAGCTAGTGCTGCGGTAATGAGCAAGCTCCTTGCGTTTGGGAAAGAAGGTTGTCTTGGAGGCCGTCATGGGTGTAGAGGGAGTCTTTGCTGTTTGTCGCGCTGGTGGAGAGTTGAGCTTTCGTTCGGCCTGGTTCACATCGTTTTGTTGTAGCTTAGCAATTTTGTTGACCGTCGGCATGCT